AGATCTGGTTTTGAAGAAGAAAGCCCCAGCCGGTACTAAGGTATTTCTGCTAGTTGTTGTCATGGAAATGATGCTGCCGCCGCCGGCGGGGAGTTTACAACAGCGCTCGTGATGAATGGCAGCAATTTGTCTTCTTCCTTTAGCCGCGCTTGGAGAATAGGTGGTTTTGTTTGCCCAAGTTAGAGCTGTCTAATAGGGACGGTGGGGCAGGTTGATCTAATCTCTCCTCAGGAGAGCGCGGACCGTAGGCAGCCCGGAGAGCTCTCGGAAGGGGTAATGGTTGGAATGTGGCATATTATACTGAAATGAGACGGGATCCTCGCGAGGCACGTCTGCCTGGCATCTGCTTCCGAAGAAATGTGCACTTTTCCCTTCGGAGGTCAGGCAGTGTAATCACAGGCGCCGGAGCCCCAGCACGTGCGCTGCGGTGCGGAGAGGCTGCGCGGCGGCGCCCGCCTAACGCGCCGCGCTCGCCTTGCTCCCCGACGGGCCGGGAAAGGAGTTTCGGGCTTGGAGAGAATCGATGAAGCGTCGGCACCCGGCTGCGTTGCACCGGGCTCTGGTGTCGCGACGGAGGTATCGCGATAGGTTTCGGGCAGCGGTCCAAGGCGGAGGTGTGGATGGCCTTCGTAGCACTAGCTAATAGCGCTATTTTTAAACTTGCTTTTTTGAAACGATGGACTTGACACGAGTAAATTTCCCAAAGGAAAAGGCGGAAAATGCTGCTTTCTGTCGGAGATTTGGTGTGTTGGGATTGGATGTCTTTTTTTTTTTTTTTTCAGGGGAAAAAAAAAGTTTAGGAATGAATCGCTAACTTTTATCCAACCTACTTCACTTGATTACATTCTTCGCCCTATTTTTCTCTCCTCCGTGGAGACTGTTGTATGTTGGAGTCAGGCTCCATTAAAACAATGGACTGAAGCAGACCAGACGGTTTCTTCGGAGGTGAAACTAGTCCCAGCTCCTGGATATTTGCTGGAGCGGCCGTGCGCCTCGGAGCGTTCCCCAAAAAAATCGCGAGCTACCCAGCAGTGGAAATATAACTTGAAACTTTTAATTGAATGGAGCGTCCCCTTTCGCGGTCCCTCCCGGGTAAATGAAGGTTTCGAAACTCAGCTGAAGAAGTCACAATCACAATGGAGTATTTCACGGTTTCCTCCTCATATTACAGGGTGGGGAGGGGTGTCACTCGGGGCTGAATGTAAAGTGCACGGAGGAAGAAAAGAGCTTTGACAAGGGTAGTTATTTCCTCCTAATTTACAGCCCTTAAGGCTCTGTGCTCCTGGCTCAGGCGTCTGCAGTCCGGAGGGGTGTTGCATGTTTAAAAGCGCAGTGAATGTCTCTAGGTAACCGCCGGCTCAGGGGGAGGAGAGGAGCCCTAGGGCGCCCGGAGCTCTGTGAGAAGCGGCCGCACGGGAGCTTGGCCCGAGAGCGGGAGGGAACAAAACCAGCGGGGGAGACAAGGGATGAGCTAATGATCGTTTAACAGCCCCGCAGCCGGGGCGGGATTAGGAGACGGAGAGCGCAGAAGTGGGGAGAG